CAGCGAAGGCTGGAATATCTTTCTATAGCTGGGATGGTTGAGAAAGCCTTTATTTAACTGCTTTCTGTATTTTGGGAAACGTCTATGTTTAGCGGTAGACCTGTTTTTATTCAGATAATGAACATGTAAGTCAGATGTATTTATTTAGCTCTGTGCCTACGAAGAATATCTTTGATACTGCGATATTGAGGAATTCTGACAAACTCCAAAGCCAAACAAGAATCTGCTAAATGTAATACTCACAATTTCCTACAATTAATGAATAGTTAAGCGTGAAAGAGTCACAGTTGTACGGTATACGAAAACTCGGGGATACAGGGTTAGAAAGAGATATGTTGTACTCACTCAGACGATGAGAAGTACAACACATCTCTAATTATTAATCTTGTAGCTTAGAAATAAAACAACAAATAGTCTTGCGAAAACTCCTGAATAAAACATTGTAAAATGTAAAATAGTTTTTCTTAATGATACAAAAACACGAATTCATAATTTAATATTACATTTGATGTGTATTCAAATGATAATGTTTCCTGTATACATTACGTCGAGGTGAATGCATCATATCACGAGAAATCCTTCCGTTTAGATAACGGGGCCTTGCGAGAGTCGACGAACTGTATTTGGCTAGTTGACACATTTCCTATTGTGACGTAATGTCACCACGCCTAGGTCAATTGCTGAGCTGATGTCAAGATCGTCTTTTGTTGTGATTGGAATTACTCAGAATTGTAAGAGAGGTCAGAATAATACAACACGTGTAGGTGGCTATATTAGGGGTATTCTTCTGACGATATCTTAGTCAGAAATCTACTTGGGATTAACCGGTTTAATGAATCCAAACTTAGTCATTGCAATGGTTTAATTCCTTGTGATTTGTTTCCTTGTGAAGTTACGAAGATGTTGTCTAATGTTTTATACACAGAATGGAGGTTTATGTGATTATCTAGCCATCTTTGAAGATAGAATGATCCTCCTAACAGAAGCGTGTTGATAACGATGATTTAATAAATCTTCTTGACGACAAAAAGTACTTCATTTTTACTACATATATAATAGGATATAAGGGTATGCCATGCCATGCCATGCCATGCCATGCCTGGAATCTTTTAGCTACTGTCTGTAGTCTGTAGTCCCGTCTATCAAGGCTGTGCTATTCCTTATCCCTAGGTTTATTATCCTATCTGTTTTTCTTAACCCCACTTATTCCTAGACCCATTTGGAAATAGTTAAGGCGATTTGATGTTACGCAGGCCGCCAGTCATGAAAGAAATAATCTAAAACATTTTGAAATGTCACATATTACCACGACCCCAAAGTCCTTGGAAAAAAAAGTAGAAGAAATGTTGTTATATGTTTTTTTTTATTTTACATAAATACAGACAATAGAATATACAAAAATACAGACATGTATACATACGTACATATGTATATACATATAGATACTAAGGGTTTGATTATTAAAGGAAATGATAACACACTCTTCCTGAACACGCTCACAGAAGGGCTATTACGTATTGCATGTGGGAAAGCATTCCATAGCCGCACAGCCGCAACACTGAAGGAATTGTCGCCACGATTTGTCCTATGAAAGAGAAGGGGAGGAGCGATATCGTGATAGCATTAATGCAAATGAAGAAGAGTAGAGGAGATAGTATGCCACTCTGGCATGTTCGATTTTCAAAAGTTCTTCGATGTTCCGATTTTCAAAAGTCCGAATTTCATCACACCTAAAAATTATAATGTCTATTATTAAAATTCACGAAAATTATTTTACCGAAAGTCGTAAATGCTATTTGTTTGTTTTCCGATTTTTTTATACGTTCGAAAAATCAAATGCTCGATGGGTTCTTGGTCAGAAAAACGATATTCCGATTTTCGATATTTCGAATAAATTGTTAAAAGTACGATTCTAATTCTGATTCAGTTACACTATATTCAAAATCTATAAATAACGTTTAATGTAATTTAAAAGCGTCCACTTTATTACTGTTAATGTGGTTTTTTTTGTGTTTTCTTCTTCTCCTTATACGTGCGTTGCGTATCATCTGCTGTTATTGAGTTCTTTGGGTTATTAAAGCGGCGATTAGGTGTGGCGATTAAAGCGCGAAGGCGAGCGAGCGTGCCCTGCCGAGCGCCAGGTCAGCTCTATTGTTGGTGAATGGTGATTTTTGGATGTTTTGAATTATCATTAAGTCGGACTTTTTGTTATTCGATCTATTTATCGGTATTTTGAGCATAGTTATTATAAATGTGAGGAATATTGAAATTTTTGAAGTATTAAAAATAGGATTAATGATAAATCGGAGTTGTTATATTCGGAATTTTGAACCATTCGGAATTATGAATATGGGTATTTCGAAATTCGTATTTGTGATTGACCTGACGGAATAAAGTTTTTCGTATTTCGGTAGTGGACCCGTCTCTTTACGTTACAATCTGTAGATTATGTGCAATCAGACTAGTATTCTGAATTTCAAAATCAATCTAGTGAAATTTCAATCAATTTGTTCTTGAAATAACTTGAAAATATCAAATATTTCCTACTTTCTTTTGTTCATAGATTTTATTTACTTACATTTGTAGTGATAAGATATTGAATTGTCCGTGTGGTGACGGATTGAATACGGAGTGTAACCACCCCTATTCATCCCGTGGGTGTCGTACTAAACTCGTGGGTCGCAAACTATGCAGGACAACAGCACTGCAAAGAGAAAGAAAACTTGACACAAAACCTATACCAGCGTATGGCCAGCGTGGTATAGTAGGCCAAAATCTCCTTTTTAAGGAGAGGCCTATGTTCAGCAGTAGACTATTTAAGGCTGTTGATGTGATGTGAGACATTAAATTGTTCACAAAAAATCCGTAAACATTGTTTGTTTATACGGAGTTATTATCTTCGTAGACCAAGATTTGTTACTTACTCAGCCAAAGCTAGTAATTCTTAATACGTTTATAAAGTTAAAGAGGCCTTAGACTATTGTAACTAACATTATTATTAGGTAAGGCCCGACTCGAACAGAATAAAACCACAATCTCGGGTACTTGTAGCCGGGGAACTAGGTGTAACGTAAAAAGGAAATCTCTGGCCCGCCGACAGACTCCGGGCCATCTACAGCTTACAGACGGCGCCTCGTGTGTGAGACCACGGTGTCCCGTTCCTGTCGTGAAAAGGCGCGCGCGTTACGGAGCGCGTCGAGCAGCCATCTCGGTCTGCTTCTGCTTGGGTGACACCTGTCACCTCCAGGCCTACCTTCAAGTCGAAGCTAATCAGACATCACCGATATGCACACGTAAGTTTAATACAATTTCTTTAATAAGTCTCAATATCTTTTGGAAGTCAAGTGTGCCTATTTATATGGGCATTGGGTCTGAAAATCGAATTCCATCAATCCGGTAGCTGTAGGTTAAATTTAAAACATAAATTTACCTACTTATTTTTATACTTTAGTTCATATAATAAGAATAACTATACACATTTCTCACACGGCCGTCTATCTGATCCCAAATGAGGCAGAGCCGGTACTACGGTAACCAGACCGCTGATAAACATACAAATATATTTATCAATACCTATATATTTTAGGTAAATTAGGTACAACCAGACACAGAACAAATGATCGTGCTCATCATACAATTACTTGTCCCGGGTAGGAATTGAACCCACGACCTCTCGCTTAGTAGTCAGGGTTACTAACCAATAGATCAACGGACTAGCCAGTAATGTTCATATGCGGTGATTAATGCAAATACGTGACTGATATTGCAAACCTTTGAACTACCTGAGACGTTTCGACCAGTTTGTAGGTACTGTCTGTGGTTACAGGTGGATAGCTTGCTACTTGATCGCGTTAATTCCCATGTATAAACATTACTAGCTTTTGTCCGTGGCTCCTCTCCCAGCTATAGCAGTAAAAAGTAGCCTATGTCTTTCCTCAAAATCAAACTATCACATACAAAATTTCATTTAAATGGGTTCAGCGGTTTAAGGTGTAACAGACAGACGGACAGACCGACACAGTTTCGCATGTATTATATTGTACAGATATATAAAATGGGTATTTCTTAAATAGGCTACACTTTAGTAAAATTATATTAAGTAATGGGTAAAAACTATAGTTAATCACACCAATATCATAAAATCGAAAATTTGTGTGTGTTTCTGTTTGTGTTTGTTATTTCTTTACGCTCAAACGGCTGCACCTATTTCAATAAAATTTGATATGGAGGAGGGTGGTACCTTTGATTAACACTATTTTTATCCCGAAAAATGTTGTGTTCCTGCGGGATGAGCAAGGAATTGAAATATATTTGCTACTCTTTGAAATTTAAGCGCCTTAACTACTATATTGATGTACATATACTCGTAAACGCGTTTTAGTTCATCTGATAAACTGCAGGTAATACCGCGGGGTACAGCTAGTTAATCCTAAATGGTTTTATGGTGTTAAGATTAAAATATACGTTTATATTGAGGTACTTCTTGTCCAACACTCCGAAACAAAAGTAGAAATCTCTACCGCATTATAATATTTTAAATGGATTGTTTTGATATTAAATAATTGTATAATATTGACCAGAAATCAGCATAAAACCTACAAAATCTACAATACAAATAGGTAAACTGAGAAAAACAAATGAAAATTTAATCATTTCTATGAGATAACGGACTCCAAGGTGATAAATATTTACGAAAATGGAAAACAGAATATTAAAGGAATGTAAAGGAAATGCAAAGCGGAACCAAGGCCTTCTTATCGATCAGTGTACATATTTTGGCTGCTACATCCTTTATCAGGAAGTAGAAGCCACGAAGCTTGTCGACATTATGTCTGTTTTGTTTACCCTATGACTTGTCTTCGCTACACCTTTATAAAACCCGCACTACGCTGAAATCGTACCACACTCCTTTGCGCGTTCTGTTCGTCTAGTACTTTTCCTTAAATTACTTATATTTCAATTTAGAAATAATTTAAAAGTTAAATTAAATAATTAAAAAAATGTGCAAAATAATCAATTTTGTATTTTTTATATTTTCCATTTGTTTAATACCTAAATATAATGCCAATCCGACAAGTAGACGTTTTAATGGATACGAGGATGTACCATATAATGCTGTTTTCGATGATGAAAATAGTATTGACGGTAGTGATGTTATTGATCTATCAAGCTTGGGCCCCGAGGCCTATGGATTACCAAACAATGAAAGTGGTAAGTTGTATAAAATAAGTTTTTAATACTTGTTTATGTTTGGGAAAGTTGGAAATAACTATAAAGAAATTAAAATCAATAGAAGTTTTTTTACGAGAAGTAGGGATAATGCCCAAAAATTGATAAAAGCCAATTACTCAAATATTAGTATGAAAATTGGTTATTAGTAAGTACTGATGTTATACTTTGTAGTTAGATACGCAATAAGGCTATATATTATAAAAGTTGAGTATTAGTTAGTATAAACGCACCGAACACGTAATCTGTTATTTTTTATAAAATATATATGTGTAAATTCGGTTAATTTAACCATACAAAAACTAAACCGCTTTGAAAAAAAAGGTAGTCACAGTATACGTGTCAACTTTATCTGGATTGATTTTACCTGCCCATATTTAGGGCAAAATGTATTACTGATAGATAGAAAAATAAACAATTAAATTATTAAATGAATAAAATAAAAAAAGTCCAATTAAAATATGCGTATTTAACTTTACGTCTAGTATGCGTTTACAACATAATATCTGAAATTGCTCTGAGATAGATAAAAAGTTAAAAAAAGAAAAATAGTATCATAGTTGAACATCATCGACAGACGGCCGTGTGTGAGATGTGTCAGGTATATTATTATTATTATAGCTAGCTATCATATCTAAATAAAAAATAAAAATACGTCTTTCATCATCATCATCATCATCATCAGCCTTTAATAGTCCACTGCTGGACATAAGCCTCTCCTGAGAAAGGAGGTTTTGGCCTACTATACCACGCTGGCCAGACGGGTTGGTAAAGGGTTTGTGTCAAGTTTTCCTTCTCTCTGCAGTGCTGTTGTCCTGCTTAGTTTTTTCCCTTAGTCGGCTCTTACGACACCCATGGGATGAATAGGGGTGGTGACACTCTGTATTCTTAATCCGTCACCATACGTCTTTCATAATATGAAAATTTTCTTTGTGATGATATAGGACAGGAGCTTATTTGCATGCGGTGCAAAATACATATGTTTTTAGAAATCATGTAAATTGAGGTGTGATAAGTTCTAAAATACAACATCATAACTTCCTAACAATTGCGCTAATTTAAGCACAATTTTGTTAAGTTAAACATGAATATCCATTATAATAGATTTTGATAAGATTATCTCATATTTAGTGAAAATCTATTCACCCACAAAATACACGTCCACTTCCGTATATATTAGCAATATATTAGCTTGTTACTCAAAGTTAAGAAAGGTCTTACAATTGTAAATAAGTTCTGATATTATATACCTATCGATATACCAAATTGGAATTATTATTTCTATACTAGATGTGACTTTGTCGTAAAACCAACGGTTTAATTATATTTTCTGAAAGCTCTTTCGGGCCCCATGTTATGTTACTTTTTAATTGAATAGTGCTTAGAGTTTAATATTTTACGTATTTATGCTTAAACGACACACTATTTGCGCTTACGTGACCTACGATAATTACACAATAATTTTACATAAAGTTTTAAATGCAAGTGAATACCAAAAAAAAAAATACAGTCGAATTGAGAACTTCCTCCTTTTTTTGAAGTCGGTTAAAAACTCGCACCAGGCGGCCAGATAAGGAACGTCGGGTTTTTTAATATTTGTCTTCGCATGATATTGAACAAAGGTCTTTTGCGGTTATTGTTTCGCTTCAATATTATAAAATCTAGTGGTCATCTAGAGGTCAAAATTAACTAATATTCATTAAATTTATCTATAACAATGAAAATGCGTGTCTAAGTGAAAAATAAATATGTTTTTCCACCGATAACACGCGCTCTTCAGTAGCTACTAAACAAAAAAGAAAAGACAAGATTACGATAAAAAGATACATAGTAAACTGTTTTATCTTTTTCATATATGGGCCAGTTGGTGGACTTGTTTACTAGGGGGACGGACGTGTTGGTCTAGTGGTTAATGACCTTGATTGTTAAGCCGGAGGTATATTCTGATCCGGAGGTGGAGTCTATTCCCACCCAGGAAAAATAATTGTGTGGTGAGCGTGATCATTTGTTTTGTGTCTGGGTATAATTTATTTATAATTTTTAGTATGTTTGTTTATCAGCAGTCTGGTTACCATAGTATAGGCTCCGGCTATTTGGGATCAGACGACGTCAGATGTGTGAGGTTTTTATTATTATTATTAGTATGTCTCTCCATTAACGGGATGGAAGTAAGACAAATTTCATTCTAAAGTCTTCCTTTTCATCAAGTACGAGTACTAAACAGTTTATTACAAATCTATAGTAAGTTAGGTCTGTTACCTAAAATAACATTGTATGAATTAAGACAGGTTTGATGTGTGTGATTTGAGCTTTGAGCGGACGGGAGCGAGACCGAAAAATGTGTAATAAGACTTTTTGCCGACATTTCAGTTGGCGAGTCGACGGTCACTTCTTTTTCGTATTTCATATACTCGTATATAGCAAACGTATACCAAGGAGCGAAAGGAACTTCGTTCCGACCGGGGATTCATAGACCTCGTCTTGAAGTTTTTTTTTCTACATATATTTTTACGACAATTGGTCTAAGTATGTATCCAAGAAACATACATGTTATGATCATGGGCGGCCTGAGACACTTTCCATCAGGTGAATCGTACGTAAAAAAATAAAATAAAAAAAACATTTAAAAATAAGTAAAAATACATAAGAATAATAAAATACATAATACATAAAAATGATCCTGACATCGCATTTCTTTTTTCAAACAAATAAACAAGCTAATTATTGAAAAAAAAATACAACTAGCAATCAATTAAAGTAACTATATTACAAATAATTAAAATTTACAAACAGGCCATTTCTATTTTTATGTTTTTCATACACTTACCCAGTGTCACTCTTACAATTAAGAGGATTCTAACGACATCTCCCAAGCAAAAATCCATCTAGTCGTTTAGATTACAGAGCGTCGCGTGCCAAAGAAATATACATATACATATACATACATAAAAAACTAGACCCTTCTTTTGGCGCAGTTGTGAAAAAAGGAAATAAAAACTGGGTTTTATGCGGTTAATGTTTAATTGTAACAAGCATTTAATTAATTGATATTGGTTTTCTGATATCAAATAAGTAAGTGTGTGGGTGTATAAGTAGCACTACAGACCCGCCATATATAGATAGCAAATTGCTTTCCTTTACGGCCAAATTTAATTTTTGTTGTCTCAATTTCCGATCAATACCCTGTAAGAGGCCACGAAATTTTAATAAATAGTTTACGTTGTGTAACACTATCTTCTTTGTCATTCCTGTGTCCCTGGTACTTGGATCCTTAATCCTTTAGAGAGAACCTTACGTAGCCTTTTAGAGAAAACGCTATGTACTAATGATAGGTTGAACTTGACTTAACGCGGTTCTGCCTTATACGTGGAGGGAAGTCCTCTCATCTATCCTTATCTCCTATTACTTGATCTCTAGCATGACCTATCCTGGAGATACATGTATTTTTAAATATACACATACCTATAATCTCCCTGCACTTCTTTCAATTTAATTTGTGGTTCGAGCAATGTGTCATATAGCAAAGAGTCGTGGCTGGTTTCTTTTATAGCTGGTCGCTGGTAATCGGACTAAAGAAAAGGGCTTGGGCGAGGGAAATAAATGAAAGAAAATTGATTTTTTTTATGAATTTATCTAAAACAGTGCGAGTCGGACTCGCCCACAGAGGGTTAAGTACAAGTTTGTAGGTACATATTATAAATTGCATTATACATTATATAAATACATATTATATTATAATTTTTTTTTAAGCTTTTTCCAAAATGTATTTATTGGCGCATCGGCAGACCTAAATCCTAAGCCATTCTCTACCAGTCAACCAAAATTCAGAAAACCAACCTATAATTAGTTAACCTCCTTTCTAAGGAGGGCCCTATGTCGTATAGTAGACTGCTAAAGGCTGTTGATGATAATGATGATATTTTATAAGTTCATACCTAAATTAGTGTGTAGTGTGTCGAAATATGCGTTATTTTGCGGCATAAACGACCGTATCTTTTTTAGCCGTAACTTAGAAGTTTGTTTTTTTTTCATTGTTTCAAGGTACTGTAGACTTGAGTATATGGTTTTAATTTCAAATCGATACCTAAATGCGCTTTCGAGTTAAAGGGTCTTGACAATCGAACAACAAAGTGGTCCGTTTTTTAAATAAGGGTTCCGTTTTTTCTTTTTGACGGATTTACGGAACCTTAAAAGCTATATTTTTACACGTTAAATAGAAATTTAGAAAAATATTATACTATGCCTAGAATGATGTAAATTTTATTCTTCTGTATTAAACTAAACAAAAACTTAACATTAATTTTTATCTTCAAAATACTTATGGAGGACCTGAAGTACAGATGTAGTGAAAACTGAAGTCCTCGTATTTTGTTTTAAAATAAAATAAAACGCAGAGTCTAAGGATAAAGATACACAGATAGCAAAACATTGCACTGGCAATAAAAATTCCCTTTTTTACAAAATAAAACAAAAAATACATAATCCATTAGCTAATTCTAAAACGAAACGAACAAACTAAAGACATTCTGCTCGTCATGTTCTTCTGATAACAAGATATGCGCGTGTCAACTCCGATAATAAATGATGAAAAGTGGCAACATGGTGACAGCATGTTTCCTTCTTTTCGTGATATCTGTATTACGTTAGCCGTATTAGAATTTTTTAAATTTAGAAAACCTACTGCATGTTTTCCCACGAGGGACAAAGCGAAAAATAAAATTCCCATCACGTTCTATATCACAAGATGTTCCGTTAAGGAACACGTACCATTCACCTGTCATTTAGAACTCTAAAAAGTTAATGCCCTCCTAAGCGAGAAAAAGGGAAGGGAAAAGGAAAAGGACTTTCAAGATTGTTTTTAGGGTTCCGTACCTCAAAAGGTAAAAAATAAACCCTTATAAGATCACTTTCTTGTCCGTCTGTCCGTGTGTCACCACCGATTTTCTTAGGAACGGGTAGATCTAGCAAGTTTAAATTTATTCCAGATACTGAGGTCTATGGCCCCTATTACGTGTATAAAAATCAAGGTACTGAGTCAACACGATAAAAAGCTATGGGCAAATTTAGATTTCGTGAAAACTTGTAAGAACCAAAAATTTACCTTAATTTTCAACTTTTTTATTTTTCAGAATTTTCTCTTTACTTGTGCTGTAAGACCTTGATTTTAACCAAAATTGTCAATTTTTTCAAATTTGGGTCGAAAACCTATATGGTAGTTCCCGTTGACCTAGAATCACGTACTTTGGCAAAAAGAAACGTCTTATAGCACAAATAAAGGAATAATTCCAAAAAATAAAAAAGTTAAAAATTAAGATTAATTTTGGTACTTACAAATTTTCGTGAAAATCTACTTAAAATCTGGGTAGGTACGGAACCCTCGGCGAGTCGGTACCCTCCGGTACGAGTCGAACTCATGTGAGTTCGACTCGTACCTGACCGGCTTTTTTTATGCTTGTCCGAATCCTGGTTGAATATACTTAAAAATAAAATTAAAAACACATATTATAATGGTCTATGGTTGTCTTATATTATCATTATACCAATTAGCATAATAATTCTATTAACAGATTTGTTTGTCTCGTCTGGGTAGTGATCGTGACTACTGGATTATTGTGTGGGCATGATTATTGATATGTATGTATTTAGAAATATATAAGTATGTTTATCAGCAGTCACCATAGTACAGGTTCTGCCTAGTTTTAGATCAGACAGCCGTGTGTGAAATGCGTAAAAATATTATTATTTATTACAACTAGTCACAGAAATGGATGTAAATTATCCGTACCATTTATGTATTTTGAAATACATAAGTATGTTTATAATTAGTCTGGGTAACACACAGGCACTGCTTAGTTTATGATCAGATATACGTAAACTGACTATCACGCTCTTTGCAGTTGATTTTTAATTAAGTTACTTAACTCTTACATCCATGATAATTATCGTTAGTTCTCTCTATTGTCAAATGTTTCTTCAGGTAACGCAGTAGCAGCTTGGTCGGAATCATCGTTGGTAAATCCCGAAGAGCTTGGTTCTTATGCTGAAGGTGACATCTTAATGCCTCCGCATGAAGGCAGGAATGGTATCAAAGAGGAATCATTCCGGTGGCCAAAAGGACATATACCTTATTCTATAGAAGGCAGCTTTAGTAAGTAAATGAATAAATTAAGACTTAGTTATTAAAATGAGGTTATTGACAAAATTGACGTATAGTTGACTGAACTTTAGAGGTAGACATCTATTTATGGGGTTTTGTTTCATATCTCATTATTTGAAACCATCAATGTGATACGTCTCGCTTTACGAGCTGCTTTTTGTAACACCTAGAAAGTTCGACACACACGAATAACATTAAGTATTAAATAATATATATAATTTTTAATATAGCGCTAATATTACCTACTGTTTAGCCCCTGTAAGTTTGAAGTACTTCCATAGTTGGACAATTAGAATTGAAATCTATTATGCCAGTCCTTGACTCTCTTACGAGTTTTCTTCCTGTTATTTTTATTAGTGACGCAATTATGTTCCTAAGATAGTTGTGTACTAAGACAACATAAAACCTTAAGAGGTTTAATTTCAGCTGCTCAAGAGCGAGAGATAATTATGAAGGCCATTGCGGACTATCACCGGCTGACTTGTTTAAGGTTCATTCCATACAGCGGACAAAAAGACTACATCGTCATTCAGAATAAGGATACTGGCTGCTGGTCTAGTGTCGGGAAGTTAGGTGAGAATTTTACTTTTTTTTTACTACCTTTTGTCTGCGTCTTCGCCAACGGTAATTTGGTATTTGCCAATCATTTTTTTTTCTGAAAGAAAGAGTTACATCATGTTCTTTTCTGTTAGTTCTTCTCTGATAATGTGAACGCTAATTTGTCTATGATCTGTTAAGTAGTTAAAGTTGAAAAATGTGACCATCAGGTGACCCCTCTGCTCATTTGCTCGAGAATAATTAACAAATATTCGCATTAATCCATACTTCCTTATATTATAAATTTTGCAAGTAATTGTATTAGTTAGTCAAACAAATAAACTCACTTTCAAATTGTATAGTGTTCGTATGGTATATATTCTTCACCGTGGGAGAGCCATCCTTCGGCACGAATGGACCGGCTCGACCGGAGTGATACCACAGCCTCACAGAAAACCGGTGTTAAACAATTCTTTCGTTGTCTTTCACTGAGTGAGTGAGGTTACCGGAGCCCAAAACCCTCCCTCCCGCTGACTCGAGCGACTCCAAGGGCGGCAACGAACTTGTGACTTTTGAGTTGCAGAACTGTCCATTTGCGGCGGTAGTTGCTTACCATCAGGTGACCCGTCTGCCCTCTTATACCATAATTAAAAAAAAAAACAGTAGGCCAAACCCCCTGTCTAAAAAAAGGCATATGTCCAGCAGTGTCGACTATTGAAGGCTGTGTGGATTTCATCTTTGCTAATTCATTATACGTATTTCTGTGCTATTACAGGGGGACGACAAGAAGTGAATGTCCAGTCGCCTGGTTGTGTATCGAAGAAAGGTACGGTGATCCACGAGTTGCTGCATGCAATTGGCTTCATGCACGAACAGAGTCGTCCTGAGAGAGACAACTTCGTCACCATTCGATACAACAACATTAAGTCAGGTAAGAGTTTCCAGTTTTTTCTTGGGACTTTTCTTCCTGGGATTCTTCTTCACATAGGCCAGCTCGATTGGTGGAGTTGTGGTGGAAACTCCTGTTAAGCGATTATTTCAACACTTTTTACCGAGTGAATACGATTCCTGAAGGCCTAAATAATTATATCTCATTTAAAGAATCGCAAAGCCCTTGCTTTAGGTGTCTATATGCTCCGGTAGCCACTTACCTTCAGGTGACCCGTCTGCTCGTTAGCTCGTTACCCATAAAAAAAACCCCAGTAATATTTGCCCCTATCTCATTTAAAAAAAATGGCAGCTCGTAGTTTTCAAACCATTGCTAGTATTCAAATACTTGTTGCTTAAATATGTAATATATTGACCTCTTCTGTTGTTTCCTCTTTTATTTAATTTTTAAGTTCTTATATGAAACCTTATATAAATTAGATTTATCTCTACAATGTATGCCAATTATATAGGCGCAGAGATCAATTTCAAAAAGGCGAACCCGCAACACAGTAACGACTTTGGCGTGCCTTACGACTTCAACAGCGTCATGCACTACTCGGAGTATGCCTTCTCTAAGAACCAACAAAAAACTATTGACCCTAAGGTACGAATTAATTGTCCTAAAGCCTGTAAATCGAATTGATCCAGAAACAGCAAGTTCAGATCCTTGACTTGCTCGAGTAAGTACATGAAAACTACTCTGCTAAGGTGCGTGTGATCTCTGGTCATATTTGTGCCCTTTATTACATAAACTGGCGTTTTCGTTCACAATCAAAATTAAAGTTTATTTACTTATACTTAGGATTCCTTTTCATTTCATTGCAGTTTAAATAACCCATCAACTTTATTCACTTGGGATAATCGCACCCATTATTTTGAGATGTTAAGACGTTAATTGGTTATGATTGTTAGTACTTAAGTTTGAAAATCAAACATTGTGTTTTATTATCAAAGATACCACAGCATTAATGAATTATCAAAATATAACGTATTATAATTCCAGGTGGGAGGCGTAAAAGTAGGACAAAGGGAAGGACTCAGTCGCAGTGATGTTAGAAAAGTCAACAATATGTATGGCTGCAAGAAAGAGTAAGTATTTAATCATTTAAATACGAGTATCTAATTAAGATTCCTGATCTTGGACATCTTGACTTTAGAAGAAACTAGTGAAAAATGAGCCTGCTCAACCAGAGTGATACCAGGGCCTTATCTCTATAAGTTAAGTTAAGGAGTTAAACTGTTCTTTAGTTGCTTTTCACTGAGTGAGGGAAGTTACAAGAGGGCGACAACGCAGTTGTGTCTTTTTGCTCGGGTGGCAGTAGTCACTTAATATTGGCCAGCCGTGATGATGTGACGTCCGCGTGTGCCGAACGTCGTTTAAATAAAGAGTTTTATCAAAGGTGGTGCCCGCACTTTTGCAGGCAGGCGGTAAGAGGGGTCCGGATGTCGTAATAATAGCTGTTCCCGGATCCCTCCCATTTCAGGCGCACAGTGGTACACCATGTGGTTTTAGTCGGTTCGATTCCAACACACCACCCCGCCGCAAACCCCCGGTGGGGTGACGGCCTGAGGGGGTTACCACACGTAAGAAAAAGGTTACAAGTCGGTTCGTTTGTCCTCTATACATAATAAAATGTTCAAGGTTCGGTACTGAGACTCGTCATTTCCAAAACATATCAATTTATCACAGATGTTATTGTCTTAATTTTAAGGATCTATACATTTAACGGAGGCTTTGGCAGCAATACAAACTATAATTTTATAAACCGGTATCCTCCGCGCCGCTTCAGGTTGCCACGAGTAAACTCGTAAGTAATTCTATTGAAGCTGAAATGCTGTTGCCTGGCCACTAAAACTAACTGTACCATTTCATTCCTTTTCAAATTTTGCTTCAACATCTATCAGATATTATGAATAAATAGAAATGAAGTAACAGCTTATATACATCATCGGAAAAATATAATAAATCTTATATATCATAGATAAATAATTCACCAACAGTGAACAAGTTTACATAATAATTTCGTCATGTACTAAATTTCATTCAATTCAGTACAAAATTTTGAATTTATTTTATTAGAACTAGGGACGTCTGTTTCATAAACGATAGAGTAAAACTTAATGTTTGTTTTTACCAAATTAAAGTAATGACATAATGAAACATAAATGAACTAACTGTTTTTATTATTAACTTTATTTAAAAGAGATTTAAACTAAAATACTCAGAAACTTTAACACCGTTGACAACTTCTTGGCACGTTCTAGAGAGACTACGTTCTTCATAACACATCCATCTAGATGGTCTATGCATCCCCGTGATAGGGCCTAGCTAGGCGTAGCCGTAGATCCATTGGAACCGAAAATTGAATCGGTAATCTGCTAGTCTTGGTCATATTTTACTATTATACTATGAAAATACCTAAAATGATTGGAACTGAATTGTGACCGAACTTTTATTACGAGAATTGGCCATCTCAATTCATTCAATAATAGCTTTTAATCTGCTTTGATATATATTTTTACTAATAAACAATATTAATCGATTATTTAGGTAATAAAATCCGTTTGTTCAGGTCTTCCAATTTGTCTGGAATGTATATTGTTATAGCTTTAAAACATATTTGTTACTTTATCAAACTAAACCTTGTTTAAATAATACTAGCTGGTATTGGCGACTTCGTTCGTGTGGTATTTGAAAAGCGCTGCCTTAGTGGGTTCGATGCCCGGAACGGGCAAAATTTTATAAGGTTTTCCGGAGAGGAAAAATAGCCGAAGTTACTCCTTATATAAATAGCTACCTGGTATTAAAATATTATCAAAATCGAGCCGTTTATAAGATTACCCGGCACAAACAGACAGACAAAAAACTGGTTTTTAGGCATAGGTATCGTGCAAATATGATGTGTGAGCATGAAAAAACCTGCTACTTTGATATTACAAACAGACAATTCAATTTTATTTATTGAAGTGTAGATGAATTAGGTTAATATCAAGTGTGGAATTTCTAGTTGCAGGAACTGCGAATTATAAATTCGAATTCAGGCGGGGGGAAGCAATCCTCTTATTTAGTCATTATTATAAGTGTGTGTGAGTGACGACGTAGCTTTCCGGGGGGGGAAAGAATTTTTTAAAGTGGTTTTGGCGCAAAAGTGTAACTAACAAACAACAAAACACTCATTTTCACATTCATAATATAAGTATTTGAGTGTGGATTTAAAATGTTATTTAATTTTTTTATAGATATCTTTTTAATAAGAAAATATCAAAAAAAGGGGCAAATTGCCTGTACCTGTGATCAAAACCTAGTTATTGTTGTTTGTGTTTCTCCTTCATGTCTATGGTCTATTAGGCACTGTATAATTGTGTCTCGAGGCTTGGTTGCCCGGTTCAATCATATATCAAAAACTGCTATAGCTTTCGATAGAATAAAGAAACTATAGAAACCTACTAAAATAAACTTGTTAAGTTTTTAAGAACAAAGAAAAAACTTAAAACATACCCTTTTTTTTTTTTTTTTTTTTTAACGTGTGGAAATCCCCTCGGACCGTCACCCCTCCGGGGTTTGCGGCGGGGTGGTGTGTCGGACTCGGACCGACTAAAACCACACGGTGTGCCACTCTGCGCCTGTAACAGGAGGGATCCGGGAACAGCTGTTGTTAAGACATCCGGACCCCTCCTAGCGCCAGCCCGCTCCTGGTGCGGGCTCCGTCTCAATACATTTTCCTCTCTTTAGGCGACGTCCGGCACACGCGGACGCCGCCCCCTCGCGGCTGGCCAACTAATGCGGGTGGAGGGGAAACCCACCCCGTCCACCCGCGGCCACACTCAGGGCGGCATGAGGCTGTGGTAGGCGGGCCTCCGCCGCCCGGTTCGCCGGCGGCGGATCGGGTCCGAGTGGAGGTCGTCCTCCCGGGCCCTCTCCGCCGCCTCCTTCCGCGAGATTACTACCTCGCAGAAGGTTGCGACCGCGGTAAAACAACTGTCGCTACCGGCCATGGAGCGTACTACGGCCGGTAGCGAGAGATCCACTCCGATGACTGCAGTGAGGGCCCGGCGCTGCGCCGCCCATGCGGGGCAGACCGCCAGCGTGTGCTGGGCCGAGTCCTCACTGCAGTCGCAGTGGTGGCAGGCGGGACTCAGTTCCCTCCTAGCGACCGTGTGCAGGTACTTTCCGAAGCAACCATGCCCGGAAAGCACCTGCGTCAGCCGGAAGGAAAGGGTCCCGTGCTGCCGCCCTGCCCACTCGGCGATGACCGGCTGGAGAGCCTCCACGGCGGCGAAGCCAGCGCGTGGAGTCTCCAGCCGGAACGACCAACGAGCCATCGTGGCTCGGCGAGCGGCTTCGCGCCACTCGCGCACATCCTCGGGCGGAGGGCGAAATCCGCTCTCCGCCCGGAAGTCAGCCACTCGCCGATAAACTTCGGCGAGCACTTCCGCCTCCAAATCCCACGGGGGAGTTCCGGCCAATGCGCACGCCACCTCCGTCGAAACGGTGCGGTAACCGCGTATGGCTCTGACCGCCATTACCCTCTGAGGGCGCCAGAGGCGTACCCTATTCTGGGCGGTCAGAGCCGCCGCCCACACCGGTGCACCGTACAGTGCCATTGACCGGACAACCCCCGTGTACAGCCGTCTTGTCGCGACGCTGGGTCCACCCATATTGGGCAAAAGTCGCCCTAGGGCAGACGCAGCGCCGACCAGCTTTGGAGCAAGCTGTCGGAAGTGCTCGTCGAAGAGCCACCTCCCGTCGAGGATCAGGCCCAGATATTTCATCTGGGCCCGAACCGGTACGAGGACCGAGTTGACCACTATTGAGGCGCCAGGGGGTGGACCACGACGGGGCCCATGGAATAACAGGGCCTCCGTCTTATCTAGGGCCACCCGTAAGCCCAGCGCCTCAATGCGCCCGACCACCAGGGAGACTCCCCCTGTGGCCAGGCGCGCCGCCTCTTGGAAGTTTGCCCCCCGGGCTGTCACGAGGGTATCGTCTGCGTAACAGATTACACCCAGCCCGGGGGGGAAATCGGCGCGAAGGGCCCAGTCGTACCCTATGTTCCACAAGAGGGGTCCAAGAACAGACCCCTGTGGAACACCGCACGACATGGGCCGACACCTCAGATTACCTTCTCGGTCCTCGTACACGACGGTACGCTCCTCTAAATAGTCTGCCACTAGCCGCCTCAGGTACTTTGGCACCCCATGATAGTGGAGTGCTTCCCTGATGCAGCTGAATGGCAGACTATTGAATGCGTTGGCGATGTCTAATGACACCGCCAACAGCACGCCGCCACAGCTCACGGCCTCTTCGGTCACGGCCCTCAGGCGCAACGCGGCGTCGACTGTCGAACGCCCCGCCCGAAAACCAAATTGGGCGTCCGACAGATCGGGGCCCACCTCGCAGAGGTGCCGGACGATGCGGGCAGAAAGAACCCTCTCAAACAATTTGCCCGCCTCGTCCAGCAGCACGATGGGCCTATAGGCCGCGACCGAATCGGCAGGCCGTCCCGGCTTCGTCAATAGGACCAGCTTCCCGCTCTTCCAGCACTCAGGGAAGCGTCCCGACGCCAAGCTAGCGTCGAACACCTCCCCGAGGCGGTCTGCCATGTGGTTGAGGGCCAGGGCCAGCACTCGGGCCGGTACCCCGTCTGGCCCAGGGGCGGTGTTCTTGGAACGGATCCGTAGAACAGCCGCCCCTACCTCCGATTCCCGGACGGGCGGAACATTGTCCTCCCCGTGCTCCCCGTCGTCTCCGGCCAGGGAGGCCATCGACGGGGGAGTGTGTTCCGCCCGTTGTGGGAAAAGGCCCTCAACCACTTCTCGCAGGAAGCTGGGCTGGAGAGTCTCCGTAAGGGGGGGGCCCGACGCGCGGAGCTTTTGTCGCACCGCGCGGTAAGGGCGACCCCAGGGGTCACGATTAAGACCCTCCAGCATCTCCTGTCTTTTTTCCTCTTTGGCGCGGCTAATGGCCAGCTTCAGAGTTTTCCGCGCCCGTCGGTACTCCTCATGAAGCCGGTCCTCCTCACCGTCTCCACGGTGACGCCGCCGACTGCGCGTGTAGGACCTCCGGGCACGTGTACAGGCCGCACGGA